ATCAAAGATAAAATTTGTTTAAGTGTACTCCTCCTCATTTATTCATTACTTGCTAATCTCTGATTTTTATAAAGTCCTCAATGCTAAAGCTTTTTGCTGACATTAGTCTCTAGTTAAACATTACATTATTTTCACTGTATTTATTTTATAAACACTATTAAAGTGGGAAATACCTTTAAAAATATATTTAACTTTTTTTTTAAGTGAATTGATTTAAAGACATCAAGTAAAGTATTTATGTATATAAGGAGCTGTGGCAGCTTAGTGGGTTGTAAGCTGGGTTTCCTAACTGCAAAGTCAGCAGTTTGAATCTACCAGTTGCTCCATGGGAGAAAGAAGTCCTCGAAAAGATTTACAGCCTTGGAAACCCTGTACAGAGTCACTATGAGTCAAAACTGATTCGATGGCATACAACCACCACTCTATGTATGTGGTCAACTTTGTGAAGGTGGGTGTCAGGGGGAAACCAATTGTGTGTGTGTATGAGATGAGAAGTTATTCAGCTGGGTTTAAGTAGGAGACTGGAACCTTCTTCCTGGACCTTCATGCATAACTTTGGGAACCTCTTTCTCAAGCCAACGTTTAGGGCCTTTACTTTTTTTTGCACAGTCTGACCACTAGATATGACCTCAATGGTTGTGGGTAGGGTGGCTCTGGGACACCAATGATTTAATTTCCTGGTGTTAGTATTCCTTAGTGAAGTCGGTTCCTGGGCTAATCATTTGTTAGTCTTCATAAGTCAGGCAAACATGAGCTTTCATATGTGGACACACAAAATGTGCTCAGCCGGGTTATTAGAAAATAGAGTCCACTTACATAAATTCTGAGGTCCAAAAAATTGGTCTTCCAGGGCCCCAGACTCTTCACCCTCTTTGTCAGTTTAATTTCCTGTTCTTTTTAGAACAAATGGATAGTGTGATGTAGGACCTGTATATGTATGAACTAGAAGCCTAGCAGGAATACTTTTTGACTTACCTTCCTGTATAAAATATACAACTCCACATTTTCACATGCCTTGGACTAAAAATGTGCCAACTTTGGCTATTTTGTTTCTGTAACAAATATCCAATTTCTCTATAAAGCAAACATTCAACAAATTTAAACATCTGAGTCAAATGCTATTTGACTTTGGCCAAGTTACTTCTGAGTGTGAGCTTCCTACTTCTTTGTATGATTTGAAGATTTAAATGAGAGAATCCATGTGATGTCGTGTCTGGCTCAATATAAGCATTAAATAAGTGGCTATTAATGTTTTTATTTTTCATCGCATGAGTCCCGAACAGCAAAGGCTGCATCCTGGTTTGATGAGGACTTCCGAAGTCTTTGCTACTGCCCCCTACTCCCGCCCCACCCCACCCCCGCCCCCCTTGCACCAATTCATCATCCCTTCACCCAAGTCTTACCGAGTGCCATACTTGTGGGGAATGCTGACTACTTAAACAGGAACCCAGCCTGGTCATCCATGCCATTGTCAAGTGCACAACAGTTGTTGTTGTTAACTGCCATCAAGTTGGTTCTGACTCATAGTAACCACGTATATTAAGGTTTTCGAGGAACGGCTGCTGGGTTTGAACCTCCAACCTACTAGTTAGCAGTCCAGTGCTTATCTTACAGCACCATACCAGGACTCCTACAGAGTAATTAAAACAAATTCCCGAACCAAAAAAAGGGCTGTACTGAGCTATGTTTCTGGTTTACAAGGCAAATGAGGACAGAATGTTTGAGACATTTGGTGTGAGGGATGGAGGGAATCATTTAGGGCACTGGTACTGCTCCTGCAAAAAGCAGGCGCATAGGAGAGCAAGCGAGCTGTTGGTGCGCCCCGAGGAGTGGGCGGATCTGGGGGAGGCGGCAAGACCCAGGGTTTGGGGTAGTCTTGAACACCCGGTCACAAGATGGGGTTTCTCTTGTTGGCGAAAGGTACCACTGAGGAACTTCTACCTAGGAGTGCGGCCTCGGCCGGAACAAGTCACTTTGCAGGAGGTGTCCGGGACTTTGCAATGTAGAAACAGAAAGAGCTCCCCCTCCAGGCCGAATGGAGAAGTCTCGGCGGTTGAGGCTGTGTGTAACCGCCGGCCGGTAGGTGGCTGAAGCGCGGGAGGACCCTGCAACGGCGGGAGGAGCCAGAAACTCCGGGCGCGTGGCTGGTGGACCCGGCAGGGTGGCCGCTGCCAAGGGGGCGGCCCTGCCTCTCCCAGGGCAGGTGATTGGTCGGCCCGCGGCGGCGGCGGTGCGTGGTACTATCGCTAGAGACCGGTGAGTCTTTCGTTCGAGCCTCTGCCTTTCTGCTCCCTAGGTGTCCCTCTGCGCTCCGTAGTGATGTCTCCGGCCGTACCCGCACTCCTGGCTTCCCGGGGCATCATTCCGAAGGGCAGCTCCAGGCTGGGGCCTCCCCTCCAGTGTTCCTCCGGTTTTCTGTATTTTGTTAGTGAAGTGCGGACAGGGAATGCTACTCCTCCCTGGGGAAAGGCAGTGCAGGGCCTTGGCGGGAAGGACGGCTGAGTGGATGAAGTAGGTAGTCCACGGGGCTGAGGCTTGGCGGGGGGGGGGGGGGGGGGGGAAGAGCCCCAAGGATTCTTGGAGCCGGGGCTGGTGGGGGGAAGGGGTTTAAGTCGCGGATGCTGGAAGGAGAGGAGTCGGGAGACTCGCGTGGATCTGGAGCCTGGGGACAGAGGCTTGGGCAATTCAGGTATTTGGGAGTTGGAGGGGTGGAGGATAAATCCCAGGTGTGGAGAATATGCTATCCCTAAGGAGCT